CCCCAAAACCCCAAAACCCCAAAACCCCAAAACCCCTATTTGAGTAAGAAAATTTGAGAATATTATTAAAATAAGATAATATGGAGTCTATTAAAGCTAAGTTTGAAGCCAAGTCTAAGTCAAAGGTAGTCTATTAGTTCCAATTTTCTGGTGATACATCTTCTTATGTGCTTATTTGAATGAATTACGACATTAATTCAAAGAAAATTCATTTCTTTATTTTTTTAATAAATTTCTTTTTGAAGTGTATTTTAACCCTTGGTGTAGAAGACCCAGATTAAACTCATGCTGTCAGCATTGAAGGTAAGTCAGAGCTAGTATTTATCAAAAGATCACAACTTTATTAATAAAATGGGGTTAGCAATTATGAACATTTGAGTTTTCAAATATATGTACATTTAACAGGAATTAGTTGACTTTATTGGGTTTACATACCGATTAAAAGACTTGAAACAAAAATTTATTGCTTTTATAGAGAAGAGCTTATAGGAAAAGCAAGTTTGTCAAGGTTAATAGAAGAAATAAGCTGAATATCTGAGATTTTAAGAGCCTTGCTTTCTCAATCAAGAGAAAGAAGGTTGCTCGAAATAGAAGAAATCGAGGTTGATTGTAAGCCTGTCCAATTAATTATCTATGCACACTTGGATCATTGTATATCTTATAGACTCTTAATCCTCTATTCTCTAGCTCACAAAATCAAACTTCAAGAAGAACAAGGATTATAAATAACAAGGAAATTAGTAAATTCAGAATGGGACCAAAGAGCCCTATTCCTACAACAACTCGTAGAATGCAGCTTAAACCATTTAACTCAGACATGGGCCATCAGAATGAGAGATACGTTACCATAATAAAGAAGGCTCAAAAGGCCTTCAGAAATAGTTCCAGAGGGCTTGAGTCACCCAAAATTCTTCAGAAATTCCTATCTACTCAAGAATCTTTCAACTCACAAGGCAAGCTTTTAGACTTTTTATATTTTGCCTTTATTTTCTAAAACTTATGTGTGAATTTGTTTTAAATCCCACTGACCTTGCTATAGATCAGAGTAGTAACCAGAGCTTTACCTCCCAATGTGAAGAAGACAACAGATCTCTGGATGAAGCTAAAAACTATGAGACTGGGCAGTTTAATAGGCTTAGAAAGGGACCCAAACTAAGCTTATTTGCGAAGAAAAAACTAAGTTGTCTTTCTGAAGGCTAATTTTTTAATCAAAATTTAAATTTCAAACTTATGTTTATAATAAAGCTAAACTTACTGCTATTAAGCCACAGAGCATTTTCATAGATGTCTTTGTTTTGTCTGTTTAGCTGATTCTCATGTTTTATCAATATCTTGAGGTGAAATCTGGGCTATATTTTATCAAAATTTACATCAAAGGCAATTTTTCTTTACCAAAATTTTCCTAATTAAAACAATGCTAATTCTCTTGATTCCAAATAACTTGCAATTTCTTAAAACCTTAAAATTTAATAGGATTCAGATTGAAGTTGGTGTAAACTTTTGTTAAAACACAATTAGATGAGAAGCAATACTGCACCAAAGCAAAATTCCCTACTTAACTCATCTCTAATCTCTCTCAAAACACCCCTTATCCACTCTAAATGCTTAAATCTCACCTCTCCTCAACTTCAAAGCCTAATCCTTACTCAAAACCCCTCCAAAATATCTCTCCGAGTGCTCTCCCAGCCAGCCACTAACAACTCATAATTATTGTAAAATTTATGAATAAATTCATAAATTTTCAAGCATTTTTCTATATTATTACAACATTTCAACCTAAATTCTAACACCCGGGGTTTTGGGGTTTTGGGGTTTTGGGGTTTTGGGG